AGGTCATGTAGCCCACAGAGTCTCCTGTTTGGCTAGCGCCTGGACTTTACAAGAAGAAATATTAGCATGTCCAAACAGTAAACCAGTGTTGGGATCTTCATGATCAAGAGACAGACTGAAAGGCCCAGGTGCCATATGAGCGGACGGCCAATTGCTTCGACAAAGATGCCTTGCTTAGCTGGGCATCACTTTTGGTACTTTGCTACATTGCTTTGGAGGTTGACAGGGCAACCAAGCCAACACCACTCAATATCGTACTCCCTCTCAAGAAACATGCTCATCCACCATTGGTTTCATAATATCTTTGGCTCCGAGGCTGCATCACACTCATAAAACAATGGGTATCGCTTCTGGTAGGCTACATCGAATTCATGTCTCGTGCCTCTTGGCAACCCGACATGTAAGACGCTTAAGCCTTTGGAAGGCAAACCTGAAATTTTTCAGTGCGCATCGTATGATCCCAAGCCCCGAATCTACTTAGAGCTATTGGCGGCACTCGGTACACCCGCGAGCAAATATTTAGGACTGAAACTGGCAGCTAGATGGCCGGAACCAGTCCTGGGTTTTGGCTCATATAGCCTGCGTGCTCCACCAACCTGAGATTTGAATATCCCGAGCACACAACCCTTGCCACCTGGGACCCTGCATTCCCAGATCAGAGCATTCCAATCCAAGCCACGTCTCTGCCACCTCCTGATGTCCGAGTCCCAAAGCACGTTGCAGCGCTGCAGCAAATGTTGCACGGTCAATCTTCTTTGATCTCATCGCTTTCTTGACAGATCTGGAGTGGCCCAGACTCGCCGCCATCACCTTGAAAGTGCAGCCACGTCACAGAAATATGGCCAGCAACGACCAAAGTTGGAAACCATGTTAATGTGTGATTTCTGAATTGGTTGCCGATGCAAAGAACCCCATGACCCCACGCACGAATGCTGTTTCCTCAGGAACCAAGAAGCTGCATGTCATGGCTTCGGTGACTTTCTGTCATGCTGGACATTGGGGTTTTATCAACTTACATTCTCTGAAAAATAAGCTCAGGTGATATCCCCAACAGCATGCGGTGCTCTTTTTAGTGCTGGCACTACCCAGCAGCCCTCGCAGAACCTCGTGGCACCCCGGTGGAACCCCGGTAGAACCCTGGTGGAACCCTGGTGGAACCCTCGTGGAATCTCACCTCAGGGCCGCCCCGGACCACCCCGGAGCCTATCTGCGCTGAGGCGCCAAAGCTTTCAGCTGTTGGGGAAAAGAAGAAAAAAACAAACGCGTGTTGATTCAAATCAAAGGATTGTTTGCTGGCGGGACAAATTCAAATTCAAGGTCCAACTCTTCAAAAGCAAAAGCTGAGTCACAAGAGGAGGCCAGTCAGCATTGCTGCCTTGAGACCCAATACCTGTAACCAAGTGATCCATATTGCAGGTAGCGTGGTAGGCATCATTCGGGAAGTACCTCAGCCAAATGGAATGGTGCTTGGCTCATCTGCTGCAAAAAACACATGTTTTGCTTACATACAAAGTTGTGCAAGCTCAGCCAGGCTGGGATAAGGCGAGCACACCAACTCTCCAGCATTTTGGATGCAAAAGTGCCAGCCGGCAGGAACGTCCTCGCCCAAGTGTTGACAAGGATTTCGCCGGGCAAAGGTCCGGCCGGGATTATCTCTTATCCACCAGGCCTTTCTCCCCTGAAGGAGGAGCAGCCAGCTCTCCTCATGCTGGTGCATGCTGGATCCGGTGTTGTTGCTCCCTATGGTCACAATCGGGAAGGCCAAATCATGCTGCAGCATCTTGGGCATCAGCGGAAACTTGCTCTGCCACAAAGACCGGCTCAGGTTCCCAGAGAATCCATGCTCGAAGCCGAGCTCTTGCTCACCTCAGGGTGTGAGAAGAGCATCCTGCAACGCTCGCAACTGTATGTTCATGTCGAGGCTCCGAACATGGCTCTCAAAGAAAAGGTCTGCAACCCACTAGGACTGCTTTGAAGACGTGGAAACCACCCGGTTGCAATTTTCGGCCTGTTGGCCTCCGGATGTAGTCACGTAGAATGCGCCATTCCTCAAGGGCCAGCTTCTTGCAAACAACACATATTCCAGCCATCAACTGCCAATCCACTCAAGTAGGGCTCAGTACTTGTGCACTCTGCTGGAGTGGTCATTTGTGGCCTTGCAGTGAAGCCTTTTCTGTGGCCTGTGGCCTTCAGTCAAGGATCCTTGGTCAAGCGAAAATGAGTAGAGCTTTCATCAATGCCAGCCTCCAGCTGCACACGAGAGTTGCCGAAGGCGTCCAGTTCCTTTCTGTCCACAAAGAGCTTGGGAGCCTTCGTTTTCATGCTCGTAGCACAAATCATGCTTCACATCGCGAAAATGAGCATTTGATGAGCTGATTCCACAGGGTGCAGCCTGTTGAGGGTCAATATCATGGAAAACATCACGTGCAAACCTGTATGAGTACTGAAGCCTGCATTCGGATAGCGTTGGCTGTAATGCAGTCAAGCGACAAGATCCAGAGAGTGAAGAAGGAAGGGCCTCCAACACATTGACTTTCATGTTTCATATGACATATTGGGACTCAAACTTCAAACCTGTGTGTGTGTGTGTTAGGCCATAAACTGCCATTAAGCTTTCCTAGGCCCTCACTATGATCAACGCTAGACACACTTGCGTGGTGCCGAGCTTTGCAATGGGAAGGATACGTGTTCTTCTTGGCATGTCTTCGCCAACAACCAGCCAGCCAGCCAGCCAGCCAACCAAACAACCAACCGACCAAGCCAGCTAGCCAGCAAGCCAGCCAGCCAGCCAGCCAGCACCTGGCAAACTCTTCTCTCTCAGAATAACCACAGGCCCATTGGACTGCCTTCCCCGCAAGCGGCGGAACTCTCTCTGCCCCAGGCCACGGCCGTCGATGCGCGGAAGGCTGCACAGATCCGCCTGGAGCGCGCATCGCAACGCAGGCGACGCAGGGATCCCCAAAATACCCTCCCACCAGCCAACATGCAAGTGCAGAAAAGCCCTTTCCAGGAGGAAAGTAGTCTTTCTACAGGGGTCTGTGCACTTCCATGTTAGCTGGTGGGAGGGTACTGCAAAGCAGGTTGACAGAAATTCTGTTGAGCTCTCAGAAAGCAATTCAGGCAATGACTTAGGACTTGCCTGCGCTTGGCTTGTCGGCCAGGACAGCGCAATGCATAGTGAAGCGGCGTGAATTGACATTGCAGCAGCGAAGCCGGTGCATTTTCAGCGCGAGCACACTTCAAACACTCAAGTGCACGTGACTGCTAAGATCATGAACACTTGATGCAGTCTCTCTGCGACTTCCTTTCGACGCTTCTCGGCTCTCGCCAAGCCGTACGAGAATCTTAAAAGTGATAAGAATACATCCTCGGTGCCTTGAGCCAGTCATGAGGCAAGCAGCGAAGATCAACGGCTACATCAAGCTCAAGGTATGCGCCAACTTGATTCTAACACTCCGCTCACCCCTGCCTGCGGCCTTTGTTCAAGCAGTACAGACACACACTCCTCGTCAAGCCCCCACTGTGCTGCGAACCTCATGATGCAAATCTAAGTTGTCCAAAACCTGAACAACTCACGACAAGCACTGGCCAACGCAGCAAGTGAAACGTAAAGATGTTCATTAACTAGATTCTCATGCAGACTCGTGGCTGTTGGACATCCTCCTGCGCGACTGGTTGTGCCTCGAATGCCTCGAGTCTTAAATCCATTCCCCAGGAACCCCACGCGGGGCCTTGCTCTCAACTTAGTTTGATTTCGCCAAGGTGCTGCCCCTTTGCCGCCCTTGCCAGGCATGCCAGCCTTGCCGCCTGCTTGGGCTCGCTGGATTGAGCGCACGTAGCCCATCTCAGCAGACTTGCAACACCCATCCTTTCACTGAACCAAAGAGCTTGCTTTGAACTCAATCTCTCCAAGTTGCAAATAGTCCGGAAGGGTTGAGTGTGCCAGGCTTTGGTCGGAAGCCCTCCATGACTGTAGAGATCCTTACTGCCGCAAATGCGGCTCGAATAGCTTGACAATCTAGCTTCATCATCTTCCTCTCTGCCTGCCTACGTCAAGCAAAGGCCAAAACGAATCCTATGTCACAATATAAACCACTACCGCCACTGCCAACTGCCAGTCGAGGCACGTCGCCTCATCCAGCTGTAGCAATGTATTTACGCATTCCTGCAGCTTGTTTCACATCTGACCCATGTCACACCGATGCATTACACACAGCCACCAATGATGTCAGCAAGCACGGTGCTCAGTGGTGTAGATGTTGCTCTTCCCATCACAGTTCAGTCTACCACTAGGACATACGCGACCAACACGTTCTCTGCACATTGGCTGCGCTTGGCAGGTAGCATCAGGACAACAAAGTCAGCACCGTTTAGCCGGCAGCAAGACACAAGCCGGGCAAAAGCAACGAGAATCATCTCAGCCCGCAATGAGATCGCAACATTTTGGAGTACAACAAATGCACACATACATCGTGGCAAACGCGTACCAACCTGAAGGGACGCTTTTGAACATTGTCAGAGCTGCAAGCCCGCTAGGTCGCAATGCTGAGAAGTGTGATCCCGTGTGCCTCGTCCAAACCTTGCTCTTGGCACCAGCTTTTGCACAATTCTTCCATGACCTCCAGGCGTGGACTCAAGCAGAAAAGTGAGTAGCAGCAAAGCATTTAGAGGAAAAACAGGTGACATGACCTGCTCTGAGGCTGCCGCAGCTCCCGCCATTGTCAGCTCACGAGTGCATGGTTGTAATATGTTTGTTTCTGTAGTGGAGCTTGCGAGTGCATCTTCCTGTGTGTAGTCTCTGCAAGCTGTTCTCTACAGCATGTCCTGGCTTTGGCTGCTACTTGCAAAACATGGGAAATGCACCATGCGATTCGCACATCAAGATCTGAGGTGCCTGACAGCCATGATTCTCCGCGGATCAGCAGAAGCGCATGACGGCTCAGCTGGGCAGCTAAACACAGTGGCGTTCGCCGAGGGGTATCTTGGCAGCTGCAGGGCACCTTCGGCTTGCCAGTTCCAGGATGATGCTCAACATCCTGCTGCACTTGTAGCCGAACGTCCTGTCATCACTTGCACGTGCTGATCACTCGGGTATAAGAGACAATCTTTCGAGAACAGCGTGCGCAATAGATTCATGCCTAGACAAAGTCAAATGCGCATCGGGCAAGCTAAACGAGACGATGGCTTCGAAACACAAACGCAGGGAGGGCTTCATACTATGACCAGCGACGCAGCCTATTCAACTACCAAACCTTTTGAAGGTGTCTCACAAGTAGATGGAATGACTTCAATTCCAATATTCTACATTTCGAGAGTGCTAGACACTGGAAGGCATGATCTACGCTTTCACCAACACGGAAGTAGTTCCCCCCATTTGAGACGCTCCTTTGGCACACGTGGCCGTTGCACTTCCAGTTTTGGACAGAGTGGAATGGGTGTTTCCCCCCAAAAGTGATCCGAATCCCTACTTCCTGGCTAAGCAAGTCCAAGGTGATTTCTTGCTCAAACAATAAGTCTAAAAACTCGCTGAAGGCAGAACCAAGGATCCACTATCCTGTCCATGTAAGCAAATCGATTGGGTTCCAACCATCTAAATGTCGTCTCCTCCACTCCGACACCTCCAGGCAGCTCCCCTTCGCCAATGCACGGGCCACCTAAGCAAAAATGCTGACCCATATGTTATGTCATATATGAGGAACTTACCGCCCATTGGTAAGCTAAGACCCATTGGTGTGTTGTCTACCCAGAAGCTGCTAAGACCCATTCGTGTGTGAGCGATACTCTGTTTTCTGCAGATACAATGTACAGTTTTCCGCTAGGGCGGATGCAGAGTTTCGTTTGAAGGCGGCAAAGGGCACCAGAAAGCCAAGTGGGAGGCCTCAGGTTTGGCAACCCCTATGCAATCAACCAACTACGCCAACATACGCCAACAACATCCGCAAGATCAAACATGAATAACCTCCAGGTTCTAAATGGGCTTCGGGATGCCGCACTGTTTGGGGCTCACTTGGACCAAACCCCCGGGCCTTTACAAGGACTTCCGAATCGACGTGCAACGGGTGCCCAGCCCGTCACCTAGGTTTTAGGTGGAGATTTAGTGCCGCTACTTCGGGATAAGGAACCAAGGCCGAAAGCCGTCCAAATAAATCCAAACAAACCATGTCCTCTTGTACTCCAGCATCGCTTCTACAGACCGCAACGACAATTTCCTCGCTCGTTCCAAACCATTTGTCAAACGAAAGGCCGCGCCCCGCCCTCCTCTCCATCTCCAATGTGGTGTGTCAACACTAACAAGCTCGCCTGTTTAGTTACTCACGCAATCCCACAAACTTTTTCATCTTCCCTCCCTCCCCCGCCTCTGCCGGCTTACTGATTTCCAAATCCGCCGACCGTCTGCTGGAAAAGGGGCGGCGCGCGGGAAGAATGGCAACATGTCATCTTCATGCTGACCATTACCTCGTCAGTCATCATTATGAATTAGGGCGGCGACGTGTCGTCTTTATACTGATCATTGCATCGTCAGTCAGCGATACACTGATCGCCACATGGCGATGTTGCTTGCCGAGATGCTGGCCTTGCTGCTCGTTAACCTATTTGTTAAAAAGGACTCAGAAGTGACGCGATAGCCCTCTGCGGCGATGCTGAGTGTCACGATCAAGCCGGACCAACGGGCGTTGGGTGTTGCGAGAGAGCATCAGGGGTCGGCGGCACGGGGCCGCCGCCCTTAGATCCGGCTACGCCTCCTGGGGTAGCATGGCAAATTTGCCTTAGCTTTAGTAATGGGGCTGCGCCCCTGCGCCGCCGACCCTCATCACTTGGTCGTGCTGCGTTGCCTAGAGCCGGCACCTCTGCGTCACCAGCTCGGGCTTCCGGTTTGCTTGCCTGTGGAAACCCTTGCAAAACATCGCGTATACGCAGGGTTTGGGCCGCGTGGCTGACATCATCAGGGTCTGGGGTTGGGCCTGTTTGACGCTTCAGCTGGGCTTGGTCTGCATCAAGACTTCCGCCCGAAAAGCGTCCCAGCCCATGAAACACTGATTTTCCGAGGGTACCGACGGGATATAAGCAAGTCTCATTTTCGCGCTTTGGGGTCAAGCGCTGGCGGGAATGCCGGCGATGCTGGCTCCTTGCCCTATTACAAAACGCCGTACAAGCAGGCGTCGTAAGTCACCCCACGACGCGTTAAGTCACCCCAGCCATCCCCAGCCGCTTGGAACTACGCATATCCGTTTAAGTCACCCCATGCGTTTTAAGTCCTCCCATTTTTTTGCAAAACACAATGGGCACAGAACTGGAAGGGCGATGTTGCCAACCCCAAGAATTCACCGCACACTGCACGCACATGCTCAAAACTCACTGGTTTGGGTTCATGTTGAATGCTTTTCTCGGGCAAAACCCTATTGGGCACCGTTAAAAACCGTTAAAAACGTGAAAAAATGCTGTGCTCCGCGTTGGGCTGATGTTCTGTTTGCTTTGCTTCTGCTGTGGCTGGCTCGCGCGCTGCACGGTCCTTGTTTCTTCCACTTGGTTTTTGGGCCTTGTTGCGCGCGCCCCCGGCCACAGAACGCTGCTATTTGCAGCATGTTGTCCCGCGTGCGCTTCCGGGCTGGCTTGCGAGCTGTTCTTTTTCGGCTGGTCGTTCTGGGGCGCGCGAGCGCGCGCGACCCCATGTGATTTGACTCGGTTGGGGTGCTGGGACCCCCTCGCGTCGTCTGCACGTCTACGGGCGTTGGCGCATCATCACCGCCCGTGCGACCACTGGAGCTCAAGTTGGGGGAAGGCTCAACACACTGCAAATATACAGCAACCCGGCTACATCAGCCATCGCCGACATCCTTGGAAGCCCCTGAATTCCGCGCAACACCTGCGTCACCTGCATCGCCCGCGTTCGGGCCCAGCCTGCCCGAGCCAGTCCGGATGGCACGCGAGCGCGCATCCATGCACCCGTCGCGCGCTCCACCAATACCATCCACCCATCTCCACCCATCCACCCATCCGCCCACGCAACCACCCACACCCACACCCACACTCCTCCCATCCCATCCAATCCCATCCCATCCCATCCCATCCATCCTTCCAGCCATCCCGCGCGAGGCCGCCGCGCGGAGCGATTCAAGTAGGAGGCACCCTCCCGCCTCAAGCTGCGCCGCCACGAAGGCTGTGCTGAGAAGGTTCTCCTAGCACCGGATGCACGCTACTTCAACACCTGGGTATGGGTCAAAATTAAACCACCAGGATATGGACCGCAGGTTTTAGTCCATGTTTCCATTTACCAGGGTTTCATTTTGGGTACATTTTTTGACGCACAGCCACTGGCTTTTGCCTTTTGGGTAATCTATGTATTCTACCCACATGGAGTTGCCCATAACAAACATGGAAGCGCTGGCTCCTTCGTCCATGGAACGTGCTGCAGTGGATCCAGCACCTTGCGCTGGGGAATGTGAAGTTACCCAGATTGGATTGCACTCCCAAGACTTCGAAAGATACACTGATACAGGCTGTGCTGCAAGTCTTCCCAATTCCCACAAGTCACCATCCTTTGCTTCATCTGCGGAAGAGGGAAACATATTTTTCGGACGGTTGAGGGGCAAGGACACCACCTGGTCCCACTGCGGCCGTTCGCCTGGCTGGCGAGGCGCTGCAGCCGGGGCTTGGCCAGGCGCGCCAGCTGCGCTGGGCCTCTGCGCTGAGGCTCCGAAGATCCAAAGCTTCGCGGGAGCTGAAAAAAAAAGCATGTGGCTGTGGGTCAAACATAGGGCAACCCCAAAACGGAACCCTGGTCAACAGAACCAAGGACCAAAACCTGCGGTCCATATCCTGGTCGTTTCATTTTGACCCATACCCATGTGGCAGCGGGGTGAAGGAAACTCAAAGCATGGCCCTAACTCTTCATATCGCAACGTGCGAAGGGGGCAGTGTGCCAAGGGCGCCAAGGGTGCACCTTGTACGCCAACGTCAATAAGTCCAGATGGTGTATTGCCGGTGCTACACTGAACCTCGTATCTTCATGTACCGAACCAGCTGGTCTTTGAATGCTCAAAACCGGTGCCCGCACAATGGGACGACATGAAGGCGTCACCTCCAACTTTGATGGCCTTGGACCTCCACGGCATCCTTGCTGGTGTCAAGGCCCTGCAGGACCGCATCGGTGGCAAGGACCTGTGATGCTTTTCACCACAATGGGAACACACATCCTCTCAGAGCCAGACTCCTGCCAGCTCGCTGGCATACTTGGCGCCACCCAAAGCCTGGTTTGGTCGGGACCGGAGAACCTCTCTTCACTCTACGTGCTCCGTCCGGCCCTTGCGCAAGCCTCGACGATAAGGGCATTGACTTCCTCATTGCCCCCACGCACCTTTGGCAAAGTGGCCCTCACTCTGAGCTGCCAAGCAGCACCCAGACGTACCACGTGACGCACGCACCACGTTGTGCGTGCGTACCACGCACGGACCACCCACCCACCCGTCCGCACACACATGGCCAGAGCCAATGCAACAATCTTTATTCAGAACTGTTACAACCGTCGGCGGACCCAACCTGAACCTTCATCAAGTCAGAGAAGGCAGTGCAGGAGAAATGCCCCAAGCTTCTCAAAGTCCTCGCCACACATGAAACGCGGCAAGAAAACTGCTTCCCAGGGCACGAATGAATGACGATTCAAGGGGCAACCGCCTATGCCTCTCACGCAGGTGCGAGCAGAACCCGGCGACATCGAGAAGACGGAGCCCTCATTCTCATGTGGCTTCACAATTCAAGCTACAGTATGAGGGAGGCCAAGCCAACGCGCTCAACTTTGCGCCGTACTGAAAAGCCTCACAAGTGGTAACCATTTGAGACCATGGAGTATACAAAGCCTATGTAAGGTGCCAGGATGAAACATGAAGAAGGGCCAGCATGCTTAGAACGGAAGCTACGAGGCTCAGTGTATTGAGCGGGGGCACGGCCAGGATCAATCTTTTCCAAACGGGCCCAACGTATCTAGCTGTCCTGGAGTCCGATGAGGCTTCGCATTGCACATAGAACACAGGCGGCAAGTCGAACACCCCTCAGCAAACAAGCACGGTTGATGATAGTCTGATGTCATACCTTTGGCGAATGAGCATTGTTCCGGTCATGCAGCAAGATTTCAAATAGAATTCTGCACACTTCCTGCTATGTGTGAGTGCACGACGGGCACCAGCATAGGCCAAGCGTGCATGAAGGAATCCCTGCAGCACAACCCCGGTCACCCGTACCCGTACATTACGTAACGGCATCTTGTAAACCGGTGATCGAGTCTGGTGCCATCCCGCCTCGCAGTCAGTGCTTTCAGCAGCAAAGCCAGGTGTACCCGCCTTGGTGAAAGACATCGCCGTGCACTTTTACGTACTAGAGTCCAAATGTGCAAGCTTGCCGGTATTTTGTTGGTACATGAAACGCACTTGCGCAGCTGCAACTTCTCAGTACGGCGGCGCAAGTGACAGGCATTGTTGCATTAAGCCCGGGCACATTCACTAGCTGCACAACCCACGGCAATTCCAAGCGGGTACTGACCATGTCACTCTTGCCCGTGCCCTTGCTCGGCACCCAGAAAGGGCTCCCCCCTGCGGCGGCATTTTCCGATCTTTCGCGAAACTTTCGCAAAAAACCGCCCAGAGCGGAGTTGCTGAACAAGATCACACTTGGAGCCATAAGAGTTACGCAAAACTTTCGCGATAAAAATCAAGTTACTTTCGCGACTCCATCGCGAATCTTTCGCGGAGGTATCTCATGCAACACCGATGGTCACAGAATACTAAACTGCTTACAAGGTCCTTTAGAACGACTCTCATATACACATACATGTACACATCATGTACACATGTTTATAGTTGTATGAAAGGTGGGCCGAGCGGGGTGACCTAATATAATGTATGGCGTCGCCTATATGCATATATATATATATATATTGTATCATTTCTTACCTTTGACATGACGGTTCCACCTAAGCCGGGATTCTGAGTGGGCCGAATCGGTGGCTCCGGCGGGTTTGGGGCTTCAATTGTGAAGGTGGGATTTTGTGGCAGGCTGAGTTAAGACCGGTGCAGGGCAGGTTTCAGTTTTGAGTATCGGGTTGTCCTTTGCTTCTGCAACCGTTTCTTCGGCAAGCTCTGGTCGGGCAATTCTCCATAGGCTGCGAGGTTAGGAGTCCTGCTGTCTGTTCTTTGCACTCCAAACGGCTGGTGTCGCCCTTTGCAGTGTCGTGCAAGGACCGCAACCACCGGTTTGCGGTTGACTGAAGACAGCTGCCTTGCCCTTTCTTTCACATTGCAGGCCTTGCAAGAGACACCTTCTCCGCCTGCCTTCCGACTTCCGTCCAGGCACCCCACTCTGGGCATCTGTGATGCGAAAACAATCTCTGCCTCTCCCAAAGCCAGCAGCCTGCGCCGCAGTCACTCTGCCATGCAGCTCAAAGCCCGGGTGCACTTCACACATTCAAACCATGTGGCTCAACACCTGTGCTGCAACCGCGCCTCCAGCCCTCGAAGTATGCTGAAAGCCTGCACCAAACTATGAAACTGGTGTGTACTCACTGGTGATCACGGCAATCGAAAAACGTGCAGATACTATCCACCAAATTCTTCTCTTGTCCGTTTAAAGCTTGCAACCGCAGAGATGGTTGGTAGGTGAGGCACATTCTCTACAAGCACCAGCGGGGGGAGAAAAAAAAACAACGTCACAGTGCAGGCATGGCCCGGGCAGAGTTGGGTCCTTTAGTATACCAGTTGGATTTCCCTTTGCATGGTACATGCAACCCGCCATCTCCGCGGCACCACGGCAAAGCGGTCATTGGAGAAGAATTGCCCCTGAACCTGCACCACCAACCATGTCAGGGCCCTGCAAGAACAGCAAGAGCAACTCCCTCTGGCCAGGTGCAGCTAAAGGCACCGCAGGAAGCCAAATTGCGTCCGAATCAATGTCCTAAGCGCCCGAGTTTGCGTGTCACGGCCAGCTCTACGAAACAGAACTATGTTTTTGTTCGTCAAGCCTTTTATCAACCCTCTCCCGTGCCACCAAGCCTTAGCTAACAACCTATGTCCCAATCAAGAGTGTTGCACCAGCAAACACATGGCGAAGCAGACGCATCTGAGCATCAGACATCCAATGTGGGCAGCCCTGGAAAGGGCAGAAGCCACTGCAAATCCCAGCGCGCGTAGAGTACATGAGAGTACCTGCAGCGTCCAGCGACTCTTTCTCTAGCATAGCATAGGAAACTTCTGCAGCTCATACCCTAGCCTGCCCCAACGCATCAGAATTCTGCATTGGCTGGCGCATGGCATAGATGCAAAAGACCGTCAAGGTCAAAGATAGCTATCGAGTCCGCTTGTGTATGTTTGTCTCAAGTAGCGATCTTACTTCAGTTGCAGCCTCAGGTAGAACTTTTGTAGCCCTTGCTTAGCACCCTCCATCCCAGCTTCCAGCGTGCGACTCAGCCCAGCCATCCAGCCCAGCTTCTCCAGCCTCCCCACCCCCAAATCAAATCAGCCCAGCTCAACTTCCCAATCTCAAACAGGACCAGTGACAAGGAAATCAGACTGTGCGCCCCTCATCCCTGAAAGCTGATTGCAAACTATTTTTCGTTTCGATGGGTGAGTATGCTGTACTAGCTAGCGGGTTGCCCGTGTCGCATGTCAACGGAGCGCAAGCCAAACAGCGACCCCGTCACGTGCTGTCGCAAACGGGCACGTTGAAGCAATTGCTAGGCGCACGTGTAGCCAAGTGAGTTCTGTTCGTGCCACTTCACAGCATCTGCACACCACCTTAGCAGCTAGCTGGAACAGCTTGGATTGCTGCTGGCACAGTCCCATGTACGTAGGGAGCATCAAACATGATATCATTCTGGCATTGACGAATCTTCTTTGCGTCCGGTCCCATTTCACAATTGGCCAAGTCTTTTCGGGATAAGTGGCAGTAGCCAAATGAGGTCACCGCGTTGGTGATAAGTACAAACATGGCTCTGCAAGGCTCCCGCTGCAGTGCGCGGAGTTGAGCCAGACCAGCACCCGGCCGGACCTGATGACCTGCGGCACAGGCATAGAAGTGTGGTAGTTGTATCACTCTTAAGTCAGGAGTCTCACGAGTAATGAGCATGAGCCAAGAGTATATGAGTATATTGATGTTGCTCTCATCTCTCCAGCTCAGCTTTGTCCATGGGAAGATTCCGCTGCAGTGTCGCCCATTGCGCCCACCCCCCGCAGCGCTCCTGCGGTGCCGTCCGAAAAGCGCACCCCAGAGCTGCTCAAGGAGAACCGCTCCGAGCTCGGCCTGAGGTAGCCGTACGCACCTGAGACTCCTCAGGAAATTGAGGACTGGGCGGGCTGGGCACATGTGCGCTGCCTCCAGTCACATCGTCATGGCCCACATCAGACCTGAGCATGGGAGAACGCAGGCGATGCTTGGCTTCGGCTTGGCTGGGCTGCTGGCACTTGAGCTAGACCGCCCAGCCATGCCCCCGGGCGGGCAGCTGACCGGCGCCAGGCCGCGTTGGGCTGCTGGCAAGTCAAGGTACATCCGAGACGAAATCATTTGGAAAAACTTCATGAGTGCTCAGGAGCTGAGGGTTCACAGTTTTGACACATTCCAGCAAACAACTCCGGTGACTTCCAAGAAACCAAGTGCTGACCCCTGCCTGGCTGAGCAACTCCAGCGGCCGGTCTCCCCAAGCAACCTGGCAGCTGCCATTGCCGCTCCGCTCAGTCAGAGGTGTGGGCCTTGCCCGCCACAGAGCTGCGCAAAATCGGCTCCAACTCCTTCCACTCTGAAGCGGTGATCCTGGAAGCTCTTGGAGCTCAGTCCAAACTAGACCACGTGCACATAATACATATATATATATATGTAAATATGCTGCCCGCCCCCCCTCCAGCGTCTGTTGACGCGTGGCCGCCATGTGGTCCAAACTTGCTTGTCGTATGCGATCTGTTGCGCATCATTAGTGGCCCTTGGCCAACCCTGTCGGCGCTGTAGCTCGTCTGACGGGATTTGTACTGGTGGCGGCGCGAGTGGGCACCGCCACATGGTGTCCCCCCCCAGATCCGCGCCTGAGGTGGTTTCTGAGAAGATCAACAAGAAGAACCAGCGTGTTTTTGTTCAATTGATTCTACTTGTTTTCTAATGAAAATCCTTCTTGGCAAGAAATTCCTGCTAAATATCTGATTCAAAATGAACATCTTAATGTGTATCCTACCCAAACTTAAAGCCTGCAATTCAACACTTGTAAGCCTATAGAACTGAAACTGCATTTTCCTTGGGTTTCTGGGGGTTGCTCAAAATTTGAAGAAGCGAAGAGCTTGTCTTTCCCTTTAGACTGTTTTGTAAAATTATCTTTGGAATCCTATTGGAGAGAACATCCAGTTGAGGGTTGGTTTGGGCGGGTTTAGAAGGTTGGTCTAGTTGGGGTTCGGGTGTGGTGCAGAGTTGGTTTGGGTGGGTTGAGGCTTATTTAGACTTATTTCGGCTGAATGAGGCTGGTTTGGGTTGGTTAAGAAGCTTGGGTCACGGCGGTTGGTTTCGTGATTCAGGGGTGGCTTCGGGTTTAGCAGGTAGTTGGCTTGTCCTGCGTCCTGGGTCCTGGGTGCCTGGGTGGGGACAACTTTTGCAAGCGAAAGTCTGTCCAAGGCTCGGGCAATGATTGCCCATCGCCTGCAAAGCGTCCAACTGATTCATGAGTGGCCTAGCAACGTCATTCAACTCTTCCCGTGCCCGATCCTATCATCTTGCTTGATGGAAGTTGGCTCGACGAGTCGCGGCACTTCGCCGTATTTGGGTGTGGCTCAAAATTAAACAGGAGGGGCAAACCGCAGGTTTTGGTCAATGTTTCCACTTTCCAGGGCAACCCATTTTGATACCGGTTTTTTGAGCCACAGCCACTTGGTCTCTCGCGTGTGAGGCGTCAAATTGTTCCGGCGGGCCTTTCCACTGGGCGCAGCCTCCTGGAGTGCTGAGCGCAGCGCGCCTGGATCGCGATGTCGCTGCTCAATTGGACCAAGGCAAAACAAACGTTTTGGAGGAAACCAAAACAAGAAACTCAAACCAAAACTTGGTTTTGGAGGAAGATGTGCTGTTTGGTTTTGCTTTTGGAGGAAACTGGTGCAATAAGCCTCAAACCTCCGTTTCACCCGGTTTTGCGACAAAGGCTGCTGTTGGGCTTCAAGCAGCCGTTGGGCGCACACACAAGCAATTGTCACGAGCTTGCCGGACTCCCTGTGCACCAAGATCCAGCTAGATATGTCCATTGTGTGATAAGCAAAGGGGATGACTTGACAGCAAATCAACTTATGTAGATACTGCACCATCAAACAAATGTGTAGATGACTAAGCCACGTAAACGCGCAAACGTCTGGATGACTGAACACTCAAACACCCCAAAATAGATGACCAACCCAAAATGGCTCGGACTTCTGCCATCTGCTTTCCCCTCCCTCGCCTTGCGGGTCCCCCGGCTCCACCTCCAGCAGCTTTGGATGGCCTCAACCAACAAACACGTCGTGACGAAAGAGCCTTGAGGACCCCGAGGGAGACCCTGGGGGTTTCAGTCACCTGAAAGGCAGAGCGGACACGCGACACGCACAGACGCAGGCTGGGCAGCATAGTTTCATGTTGTGACATCTTAGTTGGAGCCATGGATTCTTGACGCTCATGGCTTCTGTGTTTCATGCTCACGCATGCTTGTAAAGACCCTGGACTTGGATGCGAACCAATGTTTGAACGGTCAGCGTGAAACCAGCTGCGTTCTGCCTGACGGATGGGTTTAGTTTTCCTTTGCATCCACCGCCTCCTGGGTCTGATGTTATGCTGCCTGGCTTCTTTCAACTCTGCTGCTGTCCAGTAATTTTGGCCTGCCTTTGCTTTGAATGTTGTAGTTGTTCGTTAAGTCTTTGAAACTATCTCAACCCGGCTTCATCACTGGATTCGCAGTCACTATGAGTGAATCAATGGACACTTGCGGAAGGCATGAGCGTCTAGCAGGTAGGTCATGTATGAGTCTGAGATCAGACTTGATCAGACGTAGGAGAAGAATATGATGCTCAAATTCTCTTGGTTCATCACGCTACCGGGCGTCCGGAACTTGCACTTTCCGGACGTCATCGATCACTCGGCCCGGGACAAAAAAGGAGCACTTTGGAGCTTTCAAATGGCAGCCGCTCGCTCCCAGCTCTGGTCTGAAGGTTTGGAAGGGGTCATATACCATCAAATCTTATCCAGAAGTTGACTGTCTCCTCCCATCACTCTTCCTCTCTCTCTCTCTCTCTCTTCTCAGTCTCGCCCCTCCTTCCCAATTTCCCTCTTTCTTTCCCTCCATGCCTTGTCTTGTCTTGTCTTTCTTTCTTTTCTTTCCTCCCTTCCTCTTCATTTCCTTTTACGTTCTTCCATTTGCTTATTTATTTCCGTCCTTCCTTCCTATCATCTTTTCTTCGATTTGCTTTTCTGTTGTTTCCGGATCGCTTTATTCTACTTTAGTTTAGCTTTGCTTCTTCTTGATTTCATTCCTGATTATTTCCTTTCTTTCTCACGCTGGAATAAGGGTCTGGAGGAGGTCTGGAAGGGTCTGGAGCCAACTCCTGAAGAAAGTCCACCCCTGACCGGGAGCCCAGCAGCTAGGCCTCTCCGGTCGTCTGCTGGCCGTGGCAAAGCTGTACACGTCCAAAGGCCTGCGACACGCAACCGAAGGAAGTCTTCCTGTTCGCGGCTTGGGCCGTGGAGTCATGCACGATGCCGAGGCTTGGGCGCGCCAATCTTCTCCAAGAGGTTCAGCCTCCAGGCTGAGGCTGGCAGGGACGAAGACAATCAATGCTCCGTTTGGAAAGAAATGTGGGTTATGGACAGTTATGGAGAAAGCTTCCCCGCCTTAGCATGTGCGCCGTCGAATCAAAGAAGCGGGGGACGCCCAAAAGGCACAGCCTTGGCGCGATCCCATGCAACATGTTGCGTCAACGGAGAGGGGGGTGTGCCGCACTTGCAAGAGACACATTTGCGAACGTGTGCAAATTGTATGCGTTTTGCCAGCGAATTGGTGGAACACCTGCTTTGGGCTTCATCGACTTCCCCATTGCGGGCCCGGGGGGGGTGGGGGTTCTAGCGGGGGGCTGTTGCGCAACATCGGCCGGTATCGCACTACAGTGTTTGCGGCCAACACCACGGCCCTTACACTGCCGTCGTGCAAGTTTGCGGCACCTGCAAAACATAGCTGTTCACGTGCGCAAAACACCTAGACCTGTGTTTCACCAGTTGCGCGGCAAGCTTGCCCCGCCTTGCCTCGGCATCTACGCTGCAGGATGAGGGGCGTGGGTTGTCAGCGCCAGGTCTTGAAACGCCTTCAAGTTCCCAGGCCCAAAGTTCTCCGCACCCCAGGCACCCCGGCGCCCCACGCCGCGTAGCACTCGACACAGAAGGGACCGAAGCAGCTCGCCATTCCACGGAGCAGGGACCTGCGGGATTTATGTCTGAGATTCACCAGCCACACGTTTGTTTGCGTGTCAAAATTGGGACCCAACAGAACTAGCAGTCCTGTTGGATTCTCATAGGCTTCACAAGGGCACCCTCAAAAAACGCTCAGACAGACACTTTCTGATCAGGAACTCTTGGCAACAGGCACATCTGCCATATTTTGTGCTGGTGGGGCACAGGTTTGGCACCATGAAATGCCATCCATGTTTGCCCCGCAATGTCAGTCTCCCATTGAAAACAATTGCAGCCTCGTGGTGAGGCAGTCCTTCAAAGCCTAGCTGAAAATTGGCTTACCTTTGAAAGACTTCATTGCCGCATTATCAGACAGCACTGTCAATATGCACGAGGCTGTACAATGCATTGCACCATCACAGGGCTTCCCATTGGCGTCTTGTTGTCCAACTACGCAATCACAGACACAAAGGTCATGCTCAACCATGGATACAACCCCGGGGTGCAAAAAACCACAGGTGGGCAAGAGCTAAGCACAATCTCGTGCGCTATTTTCCTAGACATTGCTCGCATCTTGACAATCGTGAGAAAAACAACAAGAATCAAACGAGAAGCTTTTCAGCCTAAAGAAAAAGTGTCTGTTTGTCAAGATGCCAGGTGCATTGCCTGCTGTTCTTTTCTGCGTGTCTCCATTGACTCCGCATATTCCGACAGCAAGCCTGTAAAACGCGTGCACCATGAACGCACATCGGACCTCCCTAAGCGCTTGATGCCTCAGAACCTCAGCCCTTGTGCGTCATGTTCCAGTGCGCATCCGCGAAGCTGCCTGCGGGTTGCTTCGCAGCTGATTTGGCTCGATGCTCCAACCTTCTCACCTTCGAAGGCTGGACTGCAACATTGAACCATGGCACCGGGATGTTCTCCTTATACTCATAACTGTTTTAAATAATACGCCAATTACCAGGCGCAGCACAAGTAAAGTCCAAAACCATCCTGTTCAAAACCTTGAGGATTCAACACCACGCGAATCGCACGCCTGTCTCCATGGATGCATAGAAGCTGAGCTCACCAGACAGCGCAACACCTCGCGAAAGCCCAAGCCCGGCCATATTCCGTTCACAAAAGAGGTCTTTGCCAAATTCGCGTGAGGGTGCCATGGAACATAATATTGTGCACATGTTCCAGGTTTCTCGAAGGTCTCTTTCGGGAAAACGGACTTGCCTAGAATATGCTTTAGTTTTGACGGCTCTAGACCCTGACTCGCGCATGCATGCCAACTTGGGATGCTCGGGGTTCTGGGCGGAATCGAGCCTGCGCAGATCTCTGCAAGCTCGTTGGCGCTTGTCACATTCATCATTGATCGGGCTGCCTGATCGGTCGCGTTCTCACATCCCCTTTGACGTCACCCAAAAGGTATTGAAAGCTTGCCTTCAGGCTACCTTCCTCATCAAGAGCATCCAAGCTTAAAACCCTCTAGATATTTGCGGCACTCACGAGCCTGTCGTGAAATGCATTGTTCCTATGGATATCTTCATCCATCTGAAAAGCCCAGGCCCAAATTCAAGCAGGGACTAGGTGTATGGACGATCGGCAGCTCTCCGACTTGGACCTGTCACAACATGTCCGGCCCCCAAATTCCGTGACCGAAAACCCGCTGGAAACCCTCCTCTTACTCTAGGCGTGCCAAGTGGAGAGGTTTTGCTGGTCTTCATCTGTCCCATGGCCTTGAAAGCAGGCAACTGGGTGCCACCACCGACGCTAGCGACCTGAGCACCCACGAGTCACTGCAACAAAAAAGAGCTTTTGAGCTGAATTTCGGCAAGGAACTTGGCCAGCCAGATGTTGCCAACTGCCAAAATGTTCAAAAGCTTCCCTCTGATTTCTTGTGATCAAAGGCGACCGGAGCGAGGAAGGTCATTTGAATCGAAGAAACTTGGAAAGGAGCGGAGAAGGGGAAGCGGCCTGGAACATGTAAAGGCTCTCTGTGTGTGAAATCTCGTCAGTCGTCTTCCTGTCGTCTTCCCATACTCGTCCGGCAGTCCGGCTGTAATCTTCCTGTAGTCGACTCTAAACATCAACCTTTGGCATGCTGCTAGTACTGCCATGAAAGCACTTGACACACTCCAAACGCGAAGTGGCTTCGCGCCCAAGAGGCTTCGCCTGTGTCAATGTTACCGGGCTACGCGACTTGGCTTCGCGGGGCTTCGCAGCAAATGCATCACACAAGTGCTTCGCGGACCTTTCGGGAGTTCCCCCACGAAGCTAGAACCCATCATCTGAGAAAAATCGCTGCTCAATTGAGGGCCTGGCAATGATGGAGTTCAGTGTGATGCTTGCATACAGGTCTTGGTCGAAGAGGGTTGTCGAGCCTTGCATGACTGCATGATGGCAAGGTGCCTTTTCTCTCTGGATACTCAATCCCATTCGCTCAGATTCAGAGAGCTTTTTTCAAACAGTTCGTCGCGATTTTGGCCCAGTCACCGCCGGCAGGGTCCACCAAGTCAAAGTGGGTCACGGCGGCTTGCGACTCCGCCTAAGCATCTGATAACTGAAAACACCAGTCGATGGCTGGTGTCTCAATGAGATCCGAGCTAAGCATCCGGGCAGTGCAGGCAGGGTCATTGCCCGTGGCAATGTAGAAGGCTGCGAGGCCGTTCGCAACATGTGCAGTGCCTCAAAGTTGCAAGGGCACCGGGTCAAGGCCGAAGACTTCCGGGTGTCCAGCAGAAACAACACATTTAGTTTCAAGATTGCGGTTTTGCAGCTGCTTGGAGACATCTGCGCATACCTTTTGACCAAGCTGCAGCTGATTCCGCCGATGAACTCGTTGGTGCGATTGTGCATCTTCTGAAAACGCTGCAGCCTGCGGAGCGGGAGCGCACTAGAAACTAGCCCAAAGAAGAAGAAAGAAAGAAAGAACTAATAAAAGAACAAACGAAGAGAAAGAACAAAAGAACTAAAGAAACAAAGAAAGGAGCAAAAACAAGAAAGACACAAAGCGAGACAGGAAGGGTTGAAGGAAGGAAGGAAGGAAGGAAGGCAGGCAGGAAGCAAGGAAGGAAGGAAGGAAGGAAGGAAGATGAAGGAAGGAAGGAAGGAAGGAAGGAAGGAGGCAGGCAGGCAGGCAGGCAGGCAGGAAGGAAGGAAGGAAGGAAGGAAGGAAGGAAGGAAGGAAGGAGGCAGGCAGGCAGGCAGGCAGGCAGGCAGGCAGGAAGGAAGGAAGGAAGGAAGGAAGGAAGAGGAAGGAAGAGGAAGGAAGAGGAAGGAAGAGGAAGGAAGAGGAAGGAAGAGGAAGGAAGGAAGAGGAAGGAAGGAAGAGGAAGGAAGGAAGAGGAAGGAAGGAAGAGGAAGGAAGGAAGAGGAAGGGAGGAAGAGGAAGGGAGGAAGGAAGGGAGGAAGGAAGGGAGGGGAGGGGAGGGGAGGGGAGGGGAAGGGAAGGGAAGGGAAGGGAGGAAGGGAAAAGGAAGCGAAGGGAAGGGAAAGGAAGGAAGGAGTGAAGGACGAAAGAAGGAAGGGAGGGAGGCAAGGAGGGAGGGAGGGAGGAGAAACAGGAGATGAAGATCAAACAGGAGACAGAAACAGAGAGAAAGCACCCGAAGTAGCTGCCCCAAACGTTTGTAAGCCCGTGTGGTACTTGGAGCACAAAGCTCCAACTCAACTTAAACCTGCATGGAACGCAGCATGAGTTCGATTATTTTGTGGTCAACACCACCACAAGGGGTCAATCGCCACGGCAACTCCCATCCATGTCTGAGCAAACTGGAGAAAAACGAAAACAAGCATGAAACCATACATGTCCAATGGAGCGCACCATGAGAAGCCTCCCGCAAAGCGATGCTTGCACACGTACTTTTCACCATGTGTGGATATCCTAGCAAGGATTTTCTCTCATTCCACCGTCTCACCTGGCATCATCAGCCATTTACTTTCACAATCTCATTTACAAGCTGGTGATGGGTGAGTGGTAGGAATCACTCTCAGCGGGTGGAAGTAAACCTCCCACTCAATTACAAATTTATGACGCATGCGTAACACAACCGCTGCGCCTTGTGAGCATGCACTGCCTTTCTGTCAACCTCAAACCCTATCTGGCAAAGCCTGAAAGAGAGTCCACAAAGCATGCCAAAAGCCAGCGACAATCGTGAAAAAGCATGTGGAGCTGGCCTGTATGGCGTGGTGCGCAGTACTGATTGGCACACTTCCTGCCGTCCAAGAATTACATGCTCAGTGCTCCAGGTCAGTCAAGCTCAGTCCTTCGGGATGATGCAATCTGCAACTAGCGAGTGGCCCTTGCCCAGCAGCGTGTGCATGACTGAAACACGCCTCACGGTTCATGACGCCGGGCAATCAAGACATGCACTTCCTCAAGGCGCGCCGCCTAGACCCCAAAAACACGGAATCCAGCTCCTCAAATTTAAAATTGGCAGAGTGCCACTGCCACCAAGCCGCTTTCCTGCGTTGAAGCCACCTCAGCCACAGCAAATAATGACTTGTGACTTGAAAACATGCGGCGTGCAAGAAAATACGCCAGCATAGATGCCAGCATAGACCCCAGATAGCGTGGGAGATTACAACAGCACCCTGACTGCTTTGAGCACGCCAAAGCACTTCTGCCAACCTACATGAGCACATAAGAATCATCAAAACAGCACCCTGGCTGCATCGCCAAACAAGCACTGCCAGCAACCACCGCACCACATCTGCTTGAGCACACCAAACAGCAACTTGACCAGCACCCGCAACAGCCTCACAGCAGAAATTCAGGCAGCCATTGACGCCGCTTGGCGTTTTAGCAACGCGGGGACGATCCTTGAAGGTGGTCGAAACTGCACGCAGGTTCCAGTGAACGCAACCACCCCACACCCCCCCGCCCCACTCCGCGCGCTGTTTGCGGCGGTGCCAACGGGAGTTCAACCACCCCAACCTTCCCTCCGCCCCAACCGGTATGCATGCAAAGCTCAAAGCACCCACCCCGCTTCCCACCCCATCCCATGGCACTGTTTGCGGCCGTCAGCGCTTCACAATGGCGGCGTGAACAAAAAACACCGCCAACAGCACCCTGACTGCATCACAAACAGGCAGCGCCAGCTAACACCATAGCGCTTTCAGCGCCAACCAGGCCCGAACTCGCAAAACAGCCTGCCCGAAGTCAGAACCCCTTGTGTCACTTTCAGCTACCTAAAAAGCACCCCTGACCAGCACCCTGACCAGCGCCCTGACTGCAGCACCGAACAAGCACCACCTCACCGTTAGCAGCCCGACCTTGACCAGCGCCCTGACCAGGCAAGCACACTGACCATACCAGGCCCGGACCAGCACTTTGACTGCATTGGCTGTAGCGCCCAAAAGCACTGCCAGCACAAACAAACCTGAGTCACCACCAGCGCCCTGACCAGCCACACCGCATTGCGACAAGCACCCTGACCAGCACCCTGCTCACCAACCCCGACTGCAGCGCCAAACAAGCACCGCTATTCACCACCAGCACGCTGACGAGAACCCGCACACCCCTACCTGGCCCGATTTCGATGGCTACCCGGGGAAATGACTGAACTGCTGTGTTGCCTGGTCGTTATTCAAGCGCAAGTCATGGTTTGTCATGGCAAGCGCAACGTGGGCCTTCGATGTACATCTCCGGAATAGTCTTCTTGTAATGCTCCTCACACATCTGACTGGCAGCGCAGCTGGTCAGCTTTGGCACTATCAGGGCGTGTCTGCGCGTGTGTCTGTGCGAGCCTGTGTCTGCGCGCGGTCTGTGTGTGTGTGTGCCCGTCTGTGTGCATCTGTGCGCGTGTGCGCGTGTGTGTGTGTGTGGGTGCGTGCGTGCGTGCATGCGTGCGTGCGTGCGTGCGTGCGTGCCTGCGTGGGTGGGTGGGTGTGTGTGTGTGTGTGTGTTTGTGTTTGTGTGTGTGTGTTTGTGTTTGTGTTTGTGTGTGTGTGTTTGTGTTTGTGTTTGTGTGTGTGTGTGTTTGTGTGTGTCTGTTTGTGTGTATTTGCGTGTGTTTGTGTGTTTGTGTGTGTGTGTTTGTGTGTGCTTGTGTGTGTTTGTGTGTGTGTGTGTGTGTTTGTGTGTGTGTGTGTTTGTGTGTTTGTGTGTGTGTGTTTGTGTGTGTTTGTGTGTGTGTGTTTGTGTGTGTTTGTGTGTGTTTGTGTGTGTGTGTGTTTGTGTGTGTGTGTGTTTGTGTGTGTGTGTGTGTTTGTGTGTGTTTGTGTGTGTGTGTGTGTGTGTTTGTGTGTGTGTCCGTCTCTGCGCGCATGTGTGTGTGTGTGTCTGTGTGTGCGTCTCTGTGTGTCTGTGTGTGTCTGTGTGTGTGTCTGTGTCTGTGTGCAGCATGTGTGTGCGCGGGCGCAGGTGCTCGCGTGCGCGTGTGCGCGTGGGGGTGGGTGTCTGTGTAGGTGTGTGTCTGTATGTGTGTCTGTGTCTGCGTGTGTCTGTGCGCGTCTGTCTGCGCGTGTGTCTGTGTGTGCATGTCTGTGCGGGTGTGTCTGCGTGTGCGTCTGTGTGTCTGTGTCTGTGTTTGTGTGTGTATCCCTGTGCGACTGTTTGTGCGTCTGTGTGTGTATGTGTGTGTGTGTGTCCGTGTGTGTGTCCGTGTGTGTCTGTGTGTCTGTGCGCGTGTGTCTTTGCGCGTGTCTGCGCGTGTGTGTCTCTGAGGCTGTCTGTGTGGGTCTGTGTGTATCTCTGTGAGTGTGGGGCGCACGTGTGTGCGTGTGCGTGTGTGTGTGGGTGTGGGTGCGCGTGTGCGTGTGCGTGTGCGTGTGCGCGCGAGTGCGCGTGGGCGTGCGCGTGCGCGTGCACGTGCGCGTGCACGTGCGCGTGTGCGTGCGCGTGCGCAAGCGCGTGCACGTGCGCGCGCGCGCGTGCGCGTGCGCGGGTGAATGTGCGTGTGCGTGCGCGTGCGCTTGTGCGTGCGCGTGTGGGTGTGTGTGTGTGTGTGTGTCTGTGCGTCTGTGTGTCTGTGCGCCTGCGTGCGCGTGTCTCTGTGTGCGTGTTTGTCTGCACACGCACAGACACAGACACACACGCACAGACACACACACACACAGAAGCAGACGCACAAACACACACACACACACACGCACACACGCACACACCACACACACCCCACACACACAATCACACACACACTCGCCCACACACACAGACGCCACACACACAGACAGACAGACACACACGCACGCACGCGCACACTCACAGACGCACACACACACAGTCACAGACGCACACAGACACACAGACGCACACATGCGCAGACAAACACACAGACGCATACATAGACACTCAGGTCACAACAGACAAACACACTGACGCGCACGTGTTGGTCAATGTGTGTGTGTGTGTGTCAGTGTGACTGTGTGTGTGTGTCTGGGTGTGAGTGTGTGTGTGTGTGTGTGCGTCTCTGTGTTTGTGCGTGTGTGTGTGGGGGCGTGCGTGCGCGCGCGCAAATGTTCGTCTGCGTGTGTGCATGCGCCGGCAAGTGTGTGCGTGTTGCCGTGTGTGTGTGTGTGCGTGCGCGTGCGCGTAGGTGTGTGTGTGTGTGTGTTGCTGCGTTGTGTGTGTGTGCTAGTGCGTGCATGTCAGCGTGTGTGTCTGTTTGTGTGCGCATGCGCGCGCGTGTGCGCGTGATGGCGTGTGCGGGTGTGCTGGTGTGCGTGTGCCAGTGTGTGCATGTGTGCGTGTGGGCGCGTGCGCGTGCGTGTACGCGTGCGCTCGTGTGCGTGTGCGTGTGCGTGTGCGTGTGCGTGGGGGCGTGTGGGTGCGTGT